CTGTTAAGAATGAACGAAAAGAAACAACGACGAAAAAAGATAATTACATCACAACGATGCACTCGATCGAAGGAAACAACAACTAATTGCATTTGCCTTTTACGCCAAACAAACGTTTGTTAATGGAATAAAAAAAAAATTCTATAATCACAAGTATGGTCTATCTATTGTTCACTTGATGTTACAACACATATATATATACTAAAAAATACCTTCACTTTTTCTTTTTGCGGAAGATTGACTTAAAATATTGATTGTGCACTTATTAAAATAGCAAGTGCAAAATAAAAGATACATTATAGAAAAATAAATTCAATATATAATGCGTTTTTCCTTTTGTGCTATTTCAATCGGATAAAACAGTATATACCCTAGATATGAAGTCCCCTAGAGTGTTTCGAATTATAAGATTATTACTAGTTAATATGTTCAGATAGTATGATAGAGAATATTTTATTCTAAAAAAGCCTTAAATTTAAAGAATAGAAATCCTCTATGGAGACTAGTTATTTTAAAAACTATTAAAACTAATTTTTATCATTTGGTACAAATATGTTAGTATGTGAAAAGTGTTAAATAATTTTGGCTTCAATTAAATAAAAATGAAATTTCTTCAGGCATTGTCATACGACAGTACTAATTCAGTAGAAATTTTTAATCTGACAATATCTTTTCCATGTTCGTTTTTTAAACTTCAATCATAATAATTCTTAACTTACTTTTGACAAGAAAAGAAGTATAGGTACGATTGTCCTCAGGATTTTTCTTACTTTCACGTTTATGAAGTTTACTTTTTTTGTTCATTTTTAAAAATGAAAAGATTTTCTCTAGTCATATATATGTTATAGTTTAAACTTTTATTCACCTTTCAGTTCAATATTTCCTTTCGACGGCAATAGACGATCACTGCTTTAGTATTATTATTAATGAAAGAAAAAATGCCATATAACAAAAAAAAACCACTATTCTCTCTATATTTTAGGTCAATATAAAAATAACCATGTTCTGAATGATTTTTCCCTTATGAAAAGATGTATGTGAACACATGTAATTAATTTAGTATTTATTCAATTATATGCTGCTTTTGTGAATTTGTTGAATTTTATAAGAGAATTTATCTGTACTTGTATACTATGAATAAAATTAGAAAGAAAATGAATTAATATTTAGTACTTAAAAGATTTTCTTTTAACCATAGACCAATAAACAAATATTTGAATTCGATGACATCAAATTCTATATAGTTGATTTGTGCACAAATAAGCTTAACTAAATACAAGCATTTATTTTCCATAATCCTTAGGACGAAACTATTAATTTTTAATTATTTAGTTGTTCTTTTGTGTTGTATTTATCATGTTTACTTCTTTAATTATTTATATGAATAGTCTAGGTCAATGTGTTCAAATTAACATTGAAAACATTATGCTATTTTTATCATGATATCTTATAATAAGTGTAATCTTTTAAGACTATTGAATAAATAACAAAAAACTATGAAGAATACTTATTCTTCTAGCTCGAATAAATCTTTTATTTAAATATAATCTTAACATTTCTATAAATTTTCTTTAAAGCTTTAGTTTGAAAATATTAATCAATGTTATTTTTAGTTATGTAAATTCGACAATTTTAAGTTAATAGAATAATGTGTTTTTCATGTATCAAGACTATAACATATATTCAAATCTTTTCTAACAATGCAATAGACATCAACAAAAAAAAGAAAACCTTAGTAAGTTAATCTATATCGTGACTTTTACAATTTGTCTACATGCTAAAGTGTATACTCGAACAGTTTTCATGGATGAAAAGAATTATTGTTTTAATGATAGGATTTCTTCTCTTGAGAATTCAAAGAAAATGTCAAGATGTCATTTGACTTTATAGAATTGTAACATTTTTCAGAATCAAGAAAAACAAAAAACAAAAAAAAGTATATGAAAAGAAATGTACTATTAGAAAACTAAAAATATGATTTTTCATTTCGAACAATACTAAAAACTAATAATTAAAAATAATATTCTAAATTGTACACATAAAACTAATTTAATTAACCAAAAAAAAAAAAAAACAAAGCATTCATAATAGTTCACATGATAATTTTCATTGACATATTCTTATCAATCATTTTTTTTCTTCTTCTTCAAAAAAAAACTTGTTCATTACACTATTAAATAAGACTCTTAATGAGTAAGAAATAGTATACGACTATTTTTTGAAATAGTCACGCAACTAATTCAATATAACATACCATTTTTGAATAAATTAAATTCCTATGAAGATTTTATCAATCGAACACTCAGCTTCTGAATTGTGATATTAAATGATTATTCTCAGAAAAAGAAATCACCATACAGTTATGTCTTGTGGTTTACTTAGCTTAAAAGAACATTATGTTAATAAAAAAATGAGAATTCATCATTGACATCTGTCAAACTATCAGTAAAATTCAAATCTTCAGCTATATGGAATACGACAAACAACATGTTTTTTTTGGATTTTATTCTCGCAGGAATTGTGCTAAAAGCCTTTTTATAGAAAAAAAAGAAACGTCAACTTTTCGGCAATGGTATTTTATCCGGCGTGAGAACCAAAGTGTGACGCTATTTCAAAGTTCAAGCTCATTCTGTCATAGTTGTCAATCATCTCTCTGGAAGCAAAATATCTGAATAAAATACTATATTTGTTTTTCTTTATGTTAGATTTGCAAACAAAATATATAAAATAAAACAAAAAAAATTACTAAATTCAATTTGAACGACATAAGTAGCAACATCACATGTATTTTTATCACGTTCGAGACGAATATATTCTTGATCACCTCATGTTGTACCTAAAAATAACTATGATATATAGAATCGATTAAAATTTTATAATATCTTTACCTTAACTATTTTTACATAATCAATATGATGTACCTGATTCAAAATCATAACCAACAATTTATGTTTTTTTCATTGAATTAAAATTTTAAACTCAATATTTTACCACATGATCAATAGTTGTATTTGAGCATATCAGATCATTATATATACCTAAATAATGCAAAAATTTATATTCATAATGATATTAATATCAAATAAAATCATATATCAGATTCATAAAATAGAAAATCAAGGTCAATTGCATGAATACCAGTACACAGTGGAGAATGTTGAATTCATTCTAATTTTCTTAAGATTATATGATTTTATTTCTTCTTACAATAACAAAAGATTAACACTTTTTCGATTACATGTACTAGTAGCTGGATTATAATCATCTTTTCTCCGTAGACTACCATTCATTTTAGTTAATATACAATCAAGAATATCAATAGTATTGTCACAACAAGCACTAACTTGATCAATGTTACCTCTTTCAAATTTTCAACTTTGAATAGCTTGAAAACTTTCGATAGTTTCTGGAAAATACAATAAACAAAATTTATAGATATGTATGAGATGATTAAATATACTTATCAACAGCAACATATATATAGAATCTCTGGCGTCACGATCTTGATTATATACAGATCCAATTATACCATTGTCATGCCAATTTAATGACGTAGGTATTTTTATTTTCGATGGAATCTTTTTTTTCAATTATTACTTAAGTTTTTTTCTTTTATATATTTTAAATCAATGTTGTCCTACATCAATAGGTCGATCCATTAAATGATTAATTCCAAATTTAAATATTTTATCTTGATGAATTTTTTGATATTCTTGTAGTCGATTAATATTTTCTGTAAAGATTTATTTATGTTCAGCTTCTTCTGTTGTTGATGAATATTGTTTATTATCATTATGTTTAAATGTTTCCTAATCAATGGATAAACTACTAGTTAGAGTAATGAATAATAGGAAATAAATGACAAGCTAAAATATATATAAATAGAAGATTATTATTGTATTAAACAATTCTAATGAAAGACGAATAATTTACCTTGAAATACATTTTGATAAATATTTATATGAATTGAAAGACTCTATATATAGTATTAAAAATAAGACAAAAAATAAATTGCATTAGGATATATGAACAAAATAATGATCTGGTTCTTTATCTTTTATTCTTATCAATATCATATATTTTTGTCCTTTTGTTACACCCTTATCTAACTATGAAATGATTAACATATATTTATCAGGTCAGATACGTTTGTTGTTTCGAGTAAAGGACATTATTTTGTTTTTATCGAATAAAATGGATTAGTAATTTCTTATTTAAGTGAGTTTTAATAATAAATTTATGTTTTCTTTTTCTGATAAACAATTCAAACATTGATGTAATAATGAACTTTGATTAGAGTCTGTTGAGTCCGATTTACTATCATGATGATTAATTTCTTTCAGATTTATAATAATGAATTGACGATTTATCACAAGTTATAATTCGAAAAATAAAATCATTTCCTTTAGTAGGATAACGTGCCAAAAGTTTATGGCTTGAAGAATGTTATAGTTGTCAAAAAGAGTAATACTAAATATTAATATACGGAGTTTTTTTTGTTTTCGTTAGGTCACATGCAAAATCGGCTTTAAAGTTTGCGCGAATAAAATAAGTGAGTGTTACTTGCATAATCAACTGATTTCATTAACTCGGCAATAATGGTGAATTCTATATTATTTTATTGTTAGACAATTATGACGAATTACTCTTGACAGCTTTCAACTAAGAAGAAAACAAATGTATTTCTTGATTGTAAGAATTTGCCTTCTATAAAATATTATCCTTCTTGGGCTAATCAAAAACTCTGGTGATTAATTAGTTCAATAAGTCTTTTTTGAATAGTCAAACATTAATTCAGTTATAGTAATGTATGAACAGTTCTGGCTTGAATGTTTATTATGGCTTCTCATTTTGAAACAACAAACGATTGAGAAAATAACAAATAGCAAGACATAGAACATTTTAACATGACATCATCAACATGAAAGATTTTTATAAATAACTACTTATAGATCGTTTATTATCCTATTTATGTAAGTTATCTTCATTAAAATGAGATATTAATTTCCTAAATAAGTCTTGTTACCATTTCCATTCCAATAGAAACGTCCACCTCTAGGTCCTTCCATAATTGGTCGATTGTTGGCACTACCACGAGTTGCCATAAACTCGCCTGTAAATCGACCTCCACTACCTCCATGCATTGTAGGACCAGTAGGCATTGCCCTTTGATAAGGCATACACATAGCTGCTGTATTTGGCGAAGGCATATTGCTACCCAACATCATTTGACGCATTCCATTGAACATAGATTCAACATCATCATCATCATCATCATCATAGTTCCTTCGAGAGCGAGCTGCTGATCGTACTCTTTCTTCATTTCTACTCTACATACACATAGATTGTTAATAGAAAATTAACTTCTTGATTTTAATAATTTAAATTACCCGTTCAATTCGTACTTCTTCTTCTGCTCTTATTCTTCTATCTCGTTCTTCTTGTTCTCGTTTTTCAGCTTTTTTTCGTTCTTCTTCTCGTGCCTAAAGTCATATGAAATAATATAGAATAAAAACTTCTCGATTTAATAAATAAATTTACTTCTCGTTCTCGTTTGTCGGCTTTCTGTCGTTCTTCCTCTCTTGCCTAAAATTACATAATATTTTAACGTAATAATAAACAATTTTGTTTCGTTTTTTTTTTATTGATAGACAAAACATACTTTTGCAATTAATGCGTCTTCATATTCTTTTTTCTTTCTACGTTCTTCTTCTTCTCGTCTTGCTTGTTCTTCTTTTCGTTGTCTTTCAATTCGTTGATATTCAGCATTTGTATAATAATTTCCATTATTATTTTGTACCATTTGATCAATCATTTGAAGTAATTGCTTAGTTTTTCTATTCAATTGTTCACCATTTAATTTATTATTAATAGTAAATTTACGATGTCCACATCTTTGAACTAAATCTTTCAATTCACGAGATCGACTTATAAATTCATCAATATGTTGACCTTCATCCAATTGATCTTCACGTGTAAAAATCACAATACAATATTTTGCAGCACCCTCACCGAATATTTTTTTAATAAAATCTACTGTACGTTTTTCTTCGGGTGAAAAACGATCAATACGAAGAATAATTAAAAAAGCATGTACACCTGGTGATGTCATATTAAAAATTTGTGAAGCAATTGTCTGTTGTACTTGTTCATTTGTTATGTTCTCATCTGTATCAAAAAAGCCTGGTGTATCAACAACCATTATTTGTTTTTGTCTTCCATTAATATCAGTTGACATTGCCATTTGAACTTCACAATCTCTTGTTACTGAATTAGGTGATTGTGTAGAATAAAATGCACTTCTCGAATGTAATAATGAATTACCAACGGAACTTTTTCCTGGACAAGAAAAAAGAATTATATTATTAATTAAAGAAAAAAAATTCTATTTTATATTTTTTTGTCACTAACCATTTCCTGTTCTACCAATTAAAACGATACGTAATTGATCTTGTAAAGAAGTCTAAACATTATTGAAAATTATATTTATTATAAAAATTAAAAATTAAAATATTTTTGTTCTCTTACCATATCTTGTCTTTGATTTGTTGATCAACCTTACTGAAAAGCAATACGTAATACTCTTGTCAACCGTGTATTTATATTGATTGAAATACGAAGAAAAAAAAAATCTATCGTTGTAGTAATTGCATCGGCATCGTTTAAAAATGAAATTACAATCTGATTGGATAAAGTTTGTAGTTGCCTTGAGTCTCTTTTTTTTTTCTTCCGCTACTACTCAACACATCTGCTGTCTGTTGACGTCATGTAAAATAAAACAAAAAAAAAATCAATACAGTCACTGGGTATATTTCCAGTAGATAGAAGTTTGTCTACTTAATCTAGAATAATATCGAAATAATTTTATTATTATTGTCACGAAACAAAATGTCAAAAAAATGTCAATTAGAATCAGTACTCAGTTATGGTTCTGAAGGTACTGTATATTCTGGCTCATGGTGTGGTAAAACTGTTGCTATTAAAGTATTTTTAAAGCATTATGTTCGTCGTGCTGAAAATGAAATGAAACTTATCAAAAATTTGAATCATCAAAATATTATTAAATATTTTGATCTTGAATATGAACAAGGAAATGCTTATCTTACAATGGAATATATTACTGGTGGAAATCTTTATGAATTTATTCAAACAAAATTTACTTCATTTTCATATTGGACAATTATAGGTCAAATTTTAATTGATATTGCTCGAGGAATGGTCTATTTACATGATCGTAATATTGTTCAAGGTGATTTAAAAAGTCATAATATTCTTTTACGAGATGGAATTCATCAAGGTGTAATTTGTGATTTTGGTATTTCGAAATCGCTTGAGGATGATATTGGAATAAAGAAACGAAATCAAACTGCCAAAGGTAATTTATATTTGTTATTTTTTTTTACATTCTCTTTGATATGTAAATTTATTTTTAGGAACAATAAGGTGGATGGCACCTGAAATATGTACTCCACCACCAGAACAATCATCATTTGAATCAGATATATGGAGTTATGGTTGCATAATACTTGAAACTACAAGTGGTCAGGAACCTTGGATTACTCAATTTAATGATGATGCCACTCTTTTTCGAGCTCTTCAATGTAAAGACAATGCACCTGTTTTTGCAAGAATATGTGCTAATCAATTTGGTCCATCTCATATTTGTAAATTACTTATTGAATGCTGTTCGTGGTCAAAAACTCATCGTCCACGTTTTGTCGATATTCTAAATCGTCTTAAAATTGTACATGATGAAAATGTACCGATTGATGAAAATTTTGATCAAATGTCTCTGGATATACCCATCTCGAATGATTCATTGTATTTTAATGAAGATGATAGCAAAGAAATACAATCAATTCGTTCATTACAAAATAAAGAATTAGATGATGATTCTAAGAAAATGTTACCAAAATCAAATCGATCTCAAGGACGTCTTACTGGAGAAGTTTTTACTAGTAAAGGTAGTGCAAGTGGTCGACCTATTTATGAAGGTGTACGTGGTGGACGTTATTATTTAACATCTAGTGGATCTAAAGTCTATTTGCATAAATAAATGTAATCTCTTGAAAAAAATCTTGTTTTATTTGTTGAATATAAATAAAAAAAGTTCTATATATTATTTATATGCTTATTAATCCCAATTCGTATATATATATATATATTTATTAGTCAATAAAAAATTGATTATCATTCAAAAATTAAAAAAAAAAACAAAATTAAACTTCTTCAGTTGGAAATCGATAACTAGTACTTCTTCGTCGAAATTTCATTAATAAATGATTATACATTGAACGTGTATAATTTTCAATTGATTTTTGATTTTGTCCATAAGCATTTAAATATATTCCAAATGCTACAATAGCCCCAGACCATAAATATCTAAATCAAAATTAATTTAATAATAAATAAAAATGACCAAAAAAACATAATCTTACTGAAAAGTAAATGGTTTAGTAAAAGCAATAAATGAGAGTATAATTGTAATTGTCTTTCGAAATGTTGTAACTAAAAATCGAATAGATTTTTACAAAATAATATTTGTTTTCTTTTCTATAAGAAACAAACCGGTTACAGCTATCAGCGCTCCAAAATGCCGGACTAGATTAAGTACACAATTAACACCGAGATAACCCGCAAATGAATAAGCCATAGTAAAAACATAAGATTTTATTGGATGCTGTAAAATAAAAAAAAAAAAATTTAAATCAGATTTATTTTTTTTTTCTCTTAATGAAAAGTTTAACGTACAGCCCACCAAAGCCAAAAAGCTTCCTTCAATGAACCAAATGTTATATCATATAAAAGTAAATAAATAGCACCAATTGAATATGAAAAAAGTATCTAAATAAATTATTTAATATGTTTTAGAAACATATATTGATTTATGAAATTTTAAAAATAGTTATTCAAAATCTACTACTATTAATAAAAGGTGAAGCCAGCTTGTCAGTCATACTTACTTGATATAAATTGAACTTTTAGATTTGAAGAAATCTCGAGATACAACGGTGTCACTGCACCATCAATACATCGATTTTGATGTGCTGCTGTATAGTAGTGCACTTGGGAATATCGCTTAGTGAAGCCACTGAACATGCATAAAAAACTTATGATGATGACGGGTATTTTTTTTTCCCCGTTAATCAGAAGTCTTAATTCTGAAGGAAGGTCACAGTGCTATGATGTCGGTTGTCACCGTAATATTCTTCATATTACTCATTGACTTCATGATGAATTTCATTGTTGCATTTCTAATCATACGGTTATATAAAATAAACAAAAAGAAGAATGATCACTGCTTGATTTTCTAAGATTTAATTTTGATTAGATTTTAAGAATTCAAAATTTTAATGAAAATGTTTACAAAAGCAAACGTATTATTAGCAGATAATTATTAGTCTTGCTCGATGAGAACTTTTATTGGTTATTGATAGAGATGCAACGGCAATGATGAATCACTGTTACAACTCTAGGAAAATCTTTTAAGAATATTCCGAATAGAATATAAGCTAATCTCTTCGATAGTCGAAAAAGCAAAAAAAAAATCTTTTTCATATGTATTTTATAATAAATATATGTAGTTTTTAATAAATTTATTAGAGATAAAATTTTATTTTCATACCATTTCTGAATTACTTGGTTTATATTCTTTCAATGCTTTTTCTTGTACATTACCGATAACAGCATCAGCAACTAAGGCACAACATACAAGCCATACACCTAAATATAATCATACAAACTAAGAAATATTTCAATGATTTTTTTTGTTGTTGTTGTTTTCTACCTAATAGATCAAATTCAGGTTGAACTTGTGAATCAGCTAATGTAAAAAATATAAGACCAACAGTCATACACAGACAAGCAAGTACATCATACAGATTATAACGTTTTCCTATAGATAACAATACAAAATTGCTCATAAAATAATCAAATGGTGCACAAGTTCTGCATTAATTTAATTCTCAACATTTCGTGACTATAACTCGCTGTGAAGATTCGATAGGTTTCCTGTTAAAAAGAACAGTCTCTAATATAAGACTAAAAATATTTACTGAAGACTGAAAAGTTCTCTATACGATTCTGAAATCTAGAAGAAAGCCTTCATAGACTAAAACAGTTAGTCATATTTTCTTTTCTTAATCGGATTTTGTAGTGCTATGGTAGGAAATTGTAAAAAAAAATTAATGCAGAACCTCTGCACTCTTCGTTAATAACATTGAAGTTTATCTTTACCTAATATCAGCATACTACCAATCATAACTGGAATTAATTTACAACTTTTAAACATCATATGAGTTGGATAATTGAGACGCATCACAGCTGCATTACTTAAGCCCATTGTACCAAGAGTAAATAATGCAATTAAAGCATAAGTTGGAATAGGTGCTCTATATACAAATAAGAATTATGTTCCATCCAAAAAAAATTGTCATGACTGATAAGGAAATCTCTACTAATATCAAGTCATGCTTTGACCGAGACGATGTGAATGACTACCTTATTCAACACATATTCACAAAGTCTTAATAGCTATTTATCTCGGATTACATGTTCAATAGTATCCTAATTACATTTTGACATACACATATTCTTCTGGTTAGCTAATATGTGTGAAGAACTCAAGCAATTAAGTACGATAACTCTGTGTCAGACTGGTTCTCTGTTCAGATCTATACGTAGTTATAATTATAGAGAAGATATCAAACTATTAAATATGTCACAAAATAAATAAAAGACAAGGATATTCGTTCTTCGATTCATGATCAATAGCTAATTATGATATGAATTGTCTTACTTTCGTCTTTTTATTGTTCGTTCAAATATCAAACGTTCTAAATATGCCAAACATGTAAAACATATAAAATAGACAAGTGTAAAATAATTTGGATAAAGTCGTAATGATTTTAATTGTAAAATTAATTCCTATTAAATAAAATAATTTTTTTTTTTTGTTGAAATATTTCTTATTTTTAGTTTCATAAAAACCTGAATATATCCTTGAAGAACATGAAAAATAAGTACAGCTGTTGATGTTAATAAAAATTGTATTAATCGACTATAACCAGATAAATCTACACCAAATAAATAAATTGATGATGATGGTGTATGAAGATTCATCATCATAAAATTTCATTCTATTCGTAATTTACTTTCATCTATAATTGAAAATTTAAATTAATAATAATTTATTAATTTATTGTCATTTTCTTATTAATACGTATTTTAAAAAAAAAATGCCTAGATTGGTATGTATTTTTTTGTTTTTGGTAACAAAAAAAAAAAAAAAAAATGGAAAGAATTGAGATTCTTTAATCTAAACAGGTAATACTTTGTTTGCCGTTGGTGTTAAAATATTTGGCCACCAACGATAATTATAACATCTGGAAATAAATGATGCTATTTTAGTATTAAATGCTGTTTGATGTCGACTGTAAACATTGAGATAAATACCAAGAATTACAATTAAACCGGACCAAACATAACTAAACAAAGAATGAAATATATACATATCAATACAAATATGATTA